TCTGGATTTGGATTTGGCGCCAATATCTGAGAATCTCGACCTGGAAATTCGAAACAGGAGCGTTTCAGGTCTAAAATCTGGCGCCAGATTGCACCGAGTGGTCGCTTCCTCTGTCACGCCGTCGTCGACAGCCGGACGATCCACTCTGCGATCCACTCGTGTCGTGGTGGTGAGCACGCGAAACGAGACGGCGCGAACGGCGCCAGATTGTCGGCAGCTGGTGGCCTGTCAGCGCGCGCTTTCCCGCCTTTCACAGCGGCTATAAACCGCACTTTTGTGCCAACCGAACGGTTTGGATACAAATGCCAAGTGTAACGCGACTTTGCAGTTAGCATACCGGTTGAAACACGCGTCCACCAATGAACGACGTGTATACAATGATACACGCTGATGATTGGCGGAAAATTTCTGGCACGCCAATCTGCCCGCCAAAACTTGGCCCCAAATGTGTCGTACGGTACACGGTCTTGGGTCAATTGGGTTGAAATGGCGTCGACAAGTGCATTCTCCATTCCTCCATGATGGTCGCGCAGTCATCATGCTTGAAGCGCTGCTTGTCGCCGGCCGCCGACGGCGACAGCAAGCGCTGCAAGCGCGAGGCCTTGTCCAAGCTCACGGACAAGTTCACGCTCCATCGTGGACGGCTGCACAAGCTCGTCGTGCCGGTCGACACGTCCAAGTGCAACAAGGAGAACGTGCCACCGAAGGTTGCGACGGACCAGCCGCTGGACGTCGACGCTGCGCCGTGGGCGCCCAAGGCCAAGCAGCACTTCCGCGTCGTAACGACCGACGATCGCAACTACTACGTCGCCGCCTTGTACACGCTCACCAACAACCTCGGCCTCGGCCACGAAACCGTGCACATGGCCATCGACCTCCTCGACCGCTTCCTCCACGTGCAGCCGATCACGATCCAGTGGCTCGAGGTCGTCAGCATTGCGTGCATCTGGATCGCGTGCAAGTTCAACGAGACGCAGGCCGCGCTCGAGAGCCTCCGCGTCAAGCAGATTCTGCAGCAGCGCCACCGGCGCGGCAACTGGAGCTGGCACCACGTGCTCGTGATCGAGTGCCAGATTCTCAAGCGCCTCGGCTTCCGCATCTTGCACCCGACGATGCTCTCGCGCTTCCAGAAGCTGCCAGCGATGGCCGACATGACGCCGACCCAGCTCGCGGACGCGCACTACTTTATCGACCTCACGCTCATGGACGCAAGCTTCCAGTCGTTTGCGCCCAGCGACGTGCTGGAAGCCGTCGTCTTTCTCACGACCGAATTCCAACCCCGCCAAAACTTTGATTTCGAAGGCTTGGAGCCGCGGCTGCGCGAGCCGCTCACATGCTTCTTCATGCAGCACCTCCACATCCAGCAAGCGCTCGCGGACGGCGAGAAGCTGCACAAGTCGCTGCACTGCAAGCACGGCGCGGGCATGTCGGCCACGTGGCGACTCACGACGTCGACCGCGCCGTGTGCGTGCCGTATCTGCACCATGGCCCCTGTCGCGTAAAATACGCTGTACCCTATTACTATTATGTTAGAGTTAGAACAATCTTGGATCAATATTAATTTGTGAACTATCGACAAGTCAATCACGGCCTTTCACTTGCTCGGCCTGTACTGGGGAACACACGCCGAGACGAGACAGACGAGAGATGACGGTGTGTATTGCATTCTGCTACGCCAAGACCGAGAACCACCCGAGTGGAGAAAGGTGCCGGTGGCAACAAGGTCGATCTTGAAAGCTTGCAAAGCAAATAAATGCCAGCCATAGAAGGTCATAACTGCGTAGGGCATCCAGCTCGCCTTCTATCGAGAAGTTGAACCTCGATATGGTCGCGTAGAGGAGTCGGATTGTCATGATGGGATTCCAATTACCGTTCATGGACTACTGAAGCACGTCAATCGCACCGAATCCAACCGTTGATACGCAAAGGTTGGTTTTGGCGCGCAATATCGTTACACGTGCAGCGACACGACATGTATTTTAAGAGGTTTTTGGCGCCATTTTTCAGGGGCGAGCGACCTTTGATATAGCTCGACCTCCATGTCCAAGCAACACGATCGAACATTCATCGAACCCCGGGTCCCAGACCTTGGCCTTGATGATAACGGACTTGAGCTCTGGAAAACAGTCTCTCTCGTGAAGAATTACCACATGCGACGACCTCGAAGCACGAGCAGCCGATAGTGTTGCCAACGATAAAACCTTTTAGCGCCTGCTTTAGACATGGAGAATGCGTGCGACGCCGGTGCAAACTGGTGCCAACGTCGGTGTCGCGCATGCGAAAGCCTCGGACGCGTATACAGAGGCCTCGACAGCCGAGGCATCGAAGGGTTTGCAGCCGTCGTGTTTGCGCAAGGGAAGGCCGCTTCTGCGCGAGCCAAGCAAGACATGCAATGAGTCTGTGCTGCGTAGTCGATGTCGTCCTACTTGATACACATTGCCTAAACTCGCATGTCTGGAGTGTCTTCTTTGAGCGACTTTGCCAGATACGCCATTGCCGCCCCAGCCGAGCATACAGTTGTAGCTGAAAGAAGGCTGTGCGCGTCCATGGGTGCACTGACTCTGGGCAATGTCCCTGCTGACCCGCAGATTAAGGTGGGCGCCAGAAGCCGCTGAGCATGAGCGACCGAGCAGAGTGCGACCAGAGGCATTATTGACACCGTAACATTCAGTGCCATGCGCGTCATAAACATCTTAGGTAGTACAATAAGATCTATGTCCGGCGTGTCACTCTCTTGTTTTGCTTGGCGGCGACACAAATCAAGCGTTATGGACCTCCTTGGATCCTGAAAGCTCCAAGACAACCTCCAAAAACAACCGCAAGCAAAGCGGCTTACGAGCATCATGCCCACCCCGCTGCTGATGCTCGGCAGCTATATCTCATACTAAGCTATAAGTACACCAACCGTCTTATCGATGATTAGGTCGTCGAGTTCATAAACGAGAGGTCGGTTCGTGACTTGGTGCGCTTCCGCAGCGTCTGATGCATCGGCGACACGGCGCGCTTGACGTTGTCCATGATCGGGTCCTTCACCAGCGTCTCGACAATCGCCTACCGCAATGTATAAGCCACTTGTACGATAGAGAGTCCTTGGAGTAAAACGCACCTTGACGGTCGCCGCGACTTGCGCACGGTCGTCGCGGAGCTTGGTGACGCGGTCCTTGCGGGTCGCAATCGTCCCAAGAAACCACACATTTTCGAGGATCGACCGGCTTTCTTCAAGGACGCGAATGTGCGAGTAAAAGCAGAGCGGGAGGGCAATCGCGACGGCGTACGCGGCCGTCGACCCATACAAATACCACCCGGTGCCAATGAGGAAGACCCACTGCAGCGGCACGAGCACCCTAGCAACACGAGTCAATATCAACTTGATACATATATCCAAAAGTGCAATGTCGACGGTCGTACATGCCAGCAAAGAGCTTGAACATCGACTTGGACTCGGTAAAACCGGCGAGATCGTTCAGCTTGTTGCCTATGACAAGGAAATGAGTGAGATGTCACAGCAGAATTCGGAGGCTACCAATGAGGTAAAAGGGCAGGTTGAGCAGGATGCCGGGCAGTGCCAGTGGAAGGAGAACCACGAGGTAGCAGAGACGCTCGAGCACGAGCTGTAGCAGCGACTCGTTCTCGAGCGACACGAGCAGATCGGCGTCCTTGAGGCGGAGCTCGTCGAGCTTCGCTTGATACGTCACGACGTCCGTCTTGAGCTGGTCCAAGACACTGCCACAAATCGCCATCAAACTCCAAAAACGCCAATCGAAGGCGCGTACACTTGTTCCGTCTCCTTGGTCGTAAGCTTGCCTTCGACGAGGTCGATCAGCTGCTGCGTAAAATGCACGTCGTCTTTCGGGCTCAGCGGACCGCCCACATACAGTCGCTTGATCATGCGCGCGATGCGGAGCGAACTAAAGTCGTTGCCGTTGAGCGTCACACTGTGCATGCGCTCCTATAACCATGCGGATTCGAGTCGGTATCGCAAAATGGTACGCTTCGTACCTGAAGCTGCTCGGTGAGGTGCTTGACTTCGGCGTACTCGTCGGCCAAGAAGGCTTCCGATTGGATCGTGGCTTGGTCAATCACAATTGGCGCGCCATATTCGAGCGTCACCTCGCTAACATCGCATGAGTCATATACCGAGAGAGAGAGATGTCGTACCTGCGAAAGTGGTCCTTGTTGAAGTACGTAAGACCGAGGGGCACGACTGTGATCGGCGTGTTGTGCTCCTTCACAAAGCCTGTCGCGACACGCATGACGCCCGTGCGCAGACTGAGCATGCGCGGAAGCGTGTACGACGTGCCTTCAGGAAAGAGCACGACGACGTTGCCGCGCGCGAGCACGTCCCACGTGCACTTGAACATGGCCCGCGTCGCCGCCGCAATCTCTTCGGGCGTCTTGTCCGAGTCGACGTCCTGGAGACCCGTGGGCTTGGGCGGGCGGAAGACGGCGACGGCGCCGAGCGCTGTGAGAATCCGCGCCACGACCGGGTTCTTGAAGAGCGAGGCTTTCGCCCACGCAAACGGCGGTCGGCCCAAACGCGTGCACTCGGTCAAGACGAGGAGCGCGTCGATAAACATGTTGGGGTGGTTGGGGCAGACGACGACCGGGCCTTCGCGCGGGAGGTTGTTGATGCCATAGACAGTGATCTTGCGAAAGTAGAGGTGGCATGCGAAGCGCAGGAAGTTGGAGACGATGCGGTAGCCGTAGACGAGCACCATGGCGACGACGCCAGCGAGCAGCGCCAGGTTGAGCAACATGGTCCGATGGCTCTAAGAACGGAGGCGGATGGTCAAAGTGAAAAGTGAAGAAAAACATGCGAGCCAAAAACAGAACGCATCCGGATACCACGCCGGACGTTGAACCTACACCATTTCCGTGACATGATGCGTATACTATTTTCGGTCGAGAAGCTCGACCGTGACGTGGACTAAGATCTCGGAATCTGAGAAGGAAGAAGGCGCTTTCGACGTGCGAGGCGAGCTTGTCGACATCAAGAGTCGTTTGGTGCTGCTGGTGTATCGCGGCGGCAAGGTTCCAGTCGATGACCGCCAACAGCGGCGTCGGCGCCGTGACGTCATGCGTCGCCGCGTGTGCGTCATGACGGCGACACGACAGCGACAAGCGCAATCGATGACATTCTTGTCCGACGCCGACGGCGATGCTATGCAGACCAATGGAAGGCCGCGATGAGCGCGGGAGTACTCGGAGCGTTGATGCGCCAACGCGACACCGCATGCCCTGTGGTCTGTCGACGCTTCGAGTAGCGTCGCAGGCGTTCCTGGCCTTGACAGCTTTGGTTTTAGTGGCAAATTAGCCACGCGCCTTCCACCGACGACGCGAATCCTGTTGTCGCCGCAACGGCGCCTGCGAGCGTCGAGAAACGGAAATGGTGTGAGTGTGCACGCTATTTGATGGCATGCTAGACAGGGCGAGTGGATGCGACTCGCTGTTGACGCAGCAGGATCACTCGCTTGACGTGATCACGCAAGCTCCAGCACGTTCTCGGAAGCGTGCGCGGGCATAAACGTGGGTGCGTGGATGACGAAGTCGCCGCACCAGCGTGCGGTCTCCGTCAGCAGCGACGCTGTCTTTTGTACTAGAGTAGAAACGAACGTGTTACACAGTTTACTGCACTGGTGGCGCCGCTTCCGCGGATCGTTCTGGGAGCCGGGAGGGGTTGTCGGTGGGCGTGGCGACACCTTTCGGAGACGACGGTCGTGTGACGCGGCTACAACACTTGTGAGCACAATATTACTTATGGCCGTGCAGGGCAACCTCGCCTCCTGCTCAAAGTGACAAAACCCACTCAAAACGATCTTGTCCTGCGTCGACGTCTACGAGGCGCATCGTCGATGCTGTCTCCATCGAGGCTTTACCTGCGGAAGGTCGATGGTGCAGAGCCCCACGGTCGTGCCTCGGCGGCGCGTCGGCCCACCCGGCGCTTGGTACTGCAGCGTCATTTCAATCGTAAGGAATCCTTGGTCCGCAATGAGCTTCTCGAGCACGCGCGGCTAGACACCAAGTCATTAGCTTCCATTGGCTTGACAGTGCCGTACATTGCGCTGCAGGGGGACACCGAAAGGCCGAATCGTTAGCAC